AGTAGTAGTAGTAGTAGTAGTGGTTTTTGGGTTGGCTTGCCCACGAAATCATCTCTCTCCAACTCGCTACCTGCAATTATATTCTTTGGCCAGTTGCCTTTGTTCTTGCTTTGGTTGTGTTTGGAGCCTGATCTGGATCGTTGTGTTTTGTTTTCTTGGTGTTGCTCATGTCTTCGTGGGAAGAACGCTCTTTGAATAGGCCGGGGCTTGGACCTTACGGTGCGGCTCCTGGTCCGGGGCCTAGTCGCCCTTTTTTGATTTCGGCGCTGGTCTGGCACGGCCTTCATTGGCTGCGAAGCCGGATACTTGGTCATCCTGGCCCAGGCTAGCAGTTGCTCCTGCGGAGCCTGATGGCCCTGCAGGTGGCAGTTCGTTGGAGAAGACTTCGAAGCTCTTTCCAACGCTGGTTGTTGATATATATATATATACAGTAATATATATATATGTATAGGTCGACTGAGAGGTGTTTATAGATAAGTAAAGTACGCTTTTTTTGAGTCAACAAGCACGTTCATATGAATGAATTGCAAACGAACATGTTTAACGAGTACTTTGGTTCACAGGGTAATTATTAGTAGTATATCGGTAAAACAACAGGTACTTGTATACATTTTCTGAGGTTTCTGCAGGCTCTAAATAATGATCCACAATCATGATTGTATATCTTGGGCTTGCATAAGGAAACAGGAAAAACAACCCCCCAGAACGGGATTAATAGGGACAATACAAATCACATAATGCCCTAAGCAAAACCAGACTTCGAAAATACAAATCCCAAACACTCCATGTATGCCACATATGCCTACATTGACCCCCAAAACCACCCCAATGTAGGCATATATGGCAAACATTGGCAAACATGGAGTGTCTGGGAATGAGTTCAGTGCATTCGTCCCTTCGAGGGTCTGCTGGATCAGTAGGGAAGCCGTCATTGAAAAGGTGACAGTCACGATCGGCAAGAGCATCACCACAGCATGCAAGTGTATCCTTGTCTTGGCATCACATCATTGACATATGACCCAAAAAACATCGAACAGAACCATTACTAGTAGCAAGAAGCTATGAATGTAGCTCCTGGCAATACTACTACAAGTAGGAACAAAAAGCTACTAGTAGCAAAGGGCATTACTACTAGTAACTAGCTCCTCTCTCCTAGTAACAAGTCATCCTTAGTCATCAACCAGAATCGGCTGAAATCAGTGGACAGTGGCCGTGGCCCTCTGCAAAAACGATTTTCAAGGTGGAACACCACTGCTCCAACATCATGGGTCTTGGATGGTAGACTGGTCTATCTTCCTTCTTCCAGGTGAGCGTTGCCGGGGGTTCTCACTATCTAAATACACACCAGTGCTTCGGGAACTCCCTGCCGCTCCCTACTGCTCCCCCTTGACTGCAGGATGTCATACCCTCCGGGGCGACGGCTTGCCGTTGCTCCGCACTTGCAGATCTCAACTTGCGCAACCACACCACCTCACCTAACAACAACAACAACAACAACAACAACAACAACAACAACAACAACAACA